TATATATATATATATATTATTCACACATATATAATTTTTATACTCAACATACAAAAGGAGACATTTTATGGAAGGATGCTGGGATCTGACAAACCTGTCAAGCTTGGGGTTGTCCTGCCTCTCGCGCTGCTGGTCATATCTCAGTTTGAGTCCTTTAAATGTCTGAACATAATCCACATCTTCCAAAGCTTTCCAGTAATTTTCAATGGCATGAGCGGTTAGTGACTTAATGTCCTCCTGTAAAAGAGAAAACTTTCACCAATAACTCGATGATCCCAGCATTACAACTTTCTAAAATCAGATTAGGACATTTAAAGCTGAAATCCAGGCTCAAAAATGAATAAAAACTAAACTTCATTGATCTTTAAATGCAATTCTAAAAAATAGAAACGGGTTAGAACATCTGTCAGGTTTTTACTGTCCTGTGTGTTCCCACTGGGAGAATGTACCTACTATCTGTCCTGGTGAGCATTGTCACCGGCACCAAAAGTGATGGAAAACCTAAAACTGGTTTTATGGTTGTCACCTGTATTGGTGACAGCTGTCAGAATTTTTTTTTTTTTAAACTTTGGAGATTTTTTTTGCTCACTTTCTTGTTGTTCTCCTTGAAAAGGAAGAAACAAATATTCCCAATGGGACAGGGTAAGCAAATACACAACAGAGGTATCAACTATGCACTACGAAGTGGAAGTCTAACTCCAGGCAAACCAAAACACTACCCTTGCAGTGGGGCTACTCCCACACTTCAGGGGTTAACTGCTTGGGGACAGGAAAAAGCCGCTTTACCTACTTGACCCCCAATGCTGTTGGCTCCCTCTGGGCTGCTAGACCAGTCCCCACAGCCTTTTCCTCCCCTTTACTCTGCAGTCTAAGGACCGCGGACATCACATCTAATGCAGGTTCCACAGGCCTGCATTAGACATGAGGATGCCGAGAGACATTTCACTAGCTCAGGGGTAGGCAACCTTGGCTCTCCAGCTGTGCTGAAACTACAAATCCCATAAGGCATTGCAAGCCACAGGCATGACTCCCAGAGGCAGAAACATGATGGGATTTGTAGTTTAAGCACAGCTGGAGAGCCAAGGTTGCCTAACCCTGCACTAGCTGGAGCTGAGGGAAGAGAGGTGAGCGCTGACTGCTGGGGGGGATCAGGTAAGAGTGCTTTACTCAAGTCCCCTAGGTATAAACGAGCAGTTAACCCTTACAGTGCAGCTGTAGCCCCACTGCAAGGAAAGTTTTCCGATTTGCCCATAGATAGAAAAATACAAAAAGTTTGGCTATAGATATACGAAGTATAATTGGTGTAAGTATCCAAATTTGGTTCCATAACAGCCTCCAGTGACCCCCACTGTATAGCAGTTATCAAACCCGGGAAAGGGAGAGGCTTACTAACAGTCAATCAAGCTGTGCTGCAGAACACATGTGCCGACGAACGCCATAAAACAAAACAAAAAAAGCCCCCAAAACTGAAAACATAAAGTGACACTCACCACGCGCACATATTCAAAGATCTCAATGATGGCGGAGTTTAGGAGGTTATACCGCGATCCGTTATTGAGAAAGGCTTTCACTACAGGTTCAAACAAGAAACTTTTCACTATGTATCGGTTGTAGAATTCATCCTTCAGACCAACAATCTTCCGCATGAACCGTAGCGCACCTGGCAGACCATAACGCATGGTATTAAAGTGTGCTTTATAACTGGAAATGCTGCATTCAATAACAGATTGATCAGTGGCTGCTGCTTTGTTTGCAAAAGGTAGGAACTGACTTATAATACCGATTAGAAATTTCTGACTGGAGTTCAACTTTAAAAAGTGTTAGCTGGATTTGTCGCTTAAAGTCCATTTTAAAATATTTCCCTCTAAGACTACCCTGTCCACGTGACAACACTGTTTATAGAAGAATCCCAAAGAAAAAAAAAAAAAGCCCAAAACACACTGAGAAACTCACACAGGGCCAGGAAAGAATGTGCAGAAGACATGAGGACCAGCACTCTGCGCAGGATGTCCTTGTTGATGATGTAATTCTTTATGTGATACGTGTGATGTTCAACACAGAATGTCAGCAGCTCCAAGATCAGCGCCAGCAGCTGTGCCGTCTGGAAGTCATCTGAGAAGGAAGACAAATGTGTCACACCATGCAGATCATATACTGGGAAATGTCACTTTACAATAAACGTTTACATTGACGGATTCAAAAAACAAAAAATGCAACTAAGAGTTGCCAAATACTGAAAACTAGCCCCAATCTAGGTAAGGAAACAGTTGGAATACACACACACACACACACACATATCTCTCTCTGGATATAGATATATACATCTATGTAGATATATAGATATATATCTATATAGATATATACACCGAGTAGCCAGATTATTATGACCACCCCATCAGTACTTCGTTGGGCCGCCTCGTGACTCCACGAGATGATGAAAGGTGATGCGAGGAATCTGATACGGCACTGTTGCCCTTCTGTTGTCTTGTACCAGTCTTGCCCCTCCTCCGTTCTGCCCTAACATTGACTAGTCGCTGACGGCCACAATTCGCACGTTCAGACCCAGATTTTCGGCTGACAGTCCGGTCTTTAAACACTTTAACAACAGCTGCTCTTGAACATTTAACAAATTCTGCTGTTTTTCTGATACTCGCTCCATGGCTCCGAGCACCAACAATCATCCCAGGCACCTCGGAGTGGTGGAGACCTAGCTGATCATAGTTCAGCAGTGTGCAATGCACCTTTATTTTTAAGGGAGATAGCGCAGCAAAGTCCCATAAAAGTAAGAGAGGTTTATAGAGTTCAGAGGTCAGTAGAAAGTAACACAGTCCAGAGGTCAGTAGGTAGTAAGGGCAGTGTGCAGGGGCCAGGAATAAGTACCGCAGAGTTCAGAGGTGAGGAGTAAGTAAGGGCAGTGTGCAGGGGTCAGTAGTAATGGCAGGGGGCAGGACTAAGTAAAGCAGAGCCCAGTAGTATATAACAGAGTGCCGGGGACAAAAGCAAGTAATGTAGAATTCACATGTCAGTAGTATGTAATGCAAAGTGCAGGGGTCAAGAGTAGGGATGTACAAATACCAGTATCAGTGCCAATACCGAGTACTTAGGCGAGTACCCTTACTTGCCCAAATGCTCCCGATACCGGAACTTCCGTTATCAGGAAGCCGGGCGGCAAGTCATTACCCGCCCCCCAGCTTCCTGATTGGCCAGAAAGCCGTCTCCATGCTTCCTCCTCACCTCGTGATGAAGGAGCATGGAGATGGTTTCCTGGCTAATCGGGAAGCCGGGTATTACACACCGCCTGGGTTCCTTTATGGGACTTTCAGTATCGGCGAAGACCGAAAAAAAATATATCGGTACTTGATGCCGAAAAACTGGTATCGGTGCATCCCTAGTCAAGAGTAAGGAAAACAGACTTCAGAGGTTAGCAGCAACAGAATTTAGAGGTCCAAAGCATGTAATGCAGATTGCAGGAGTCAGAAGTAACACAGTGTAGAGGTTGGGAGTAGCACGCATCTCCTCCCCGCAAGCAAAAATACTCACCTTCCATTACGAACATCTACCCCACCCTTCTAGGTAAAATTCACTCAACAGACCTCAGACGCAGTGGCTACCGTAGAAGTGAGGGAAGTCCTCAGGTTTCTCTGAGCCCGGCTGTGTCACATGACAGGTCAGAACCGAGGGGGAGTCTAGGACTTCCTTTGCCTCTGCAATAATCTGAAGTCTGAGAGGAGGCATGGAAAGGGTTGGTCACAATCTACCCCTGTATTAAACAAAGGCATAAGAGGCTGAGCTCCTCAGTGTGACAACACAAACCCCGCAGTGCTCCCGGAGGTGATCTCTGACCTTTGCTGGGCTTTTCCTCTGTAGTGTTGGCCAGTAAGGGGGCGGTGAGGACATGCATGCAGTGCTTGTAGAAGAATCCCAAAAATTCCGTCTTCTCTGTTTTCTATGAAAAACAAACAGTAAATGCTCAGTACAGTAAGATTAAGAGACTGAGGTGACCTTGCTCAGACTATGAAGCCATTTCCGAGCTGCAAACAGAAAACACAGCAGATACATATCCATCAAGTAAGGAAATCGCAATAATCTGCGTGTGATGGGAAGTGCACAAAAACATTCCCCAGGGCTGAGGGACAAGTCTATGTTTACGTGGCCCCACTCCCCTACCAATTAAACTGAACTCCTCCTACCCCAGGCCTATACTTACAGCTGTAACCCAGTGCTCACATTGTTGGAAATGAAATCCTCATCAGAACTTAATAGCCAAGGATGTAAACATCAGACTAGCTTTGCAATGCAGGCAAGAGGCTGGGGGAGGATTAGCCCAGTTTAGTTTAGGATGGTGTGGGGATGGGTTAGCATTAGTTTAGGTAAATTTGAACTTGCCCTTTAAAACCCGCTCCTAACATTTAAATGAAAGCAGACGTTTAAATGCAGCTATATGTGGAAGCCACATGTAACAAAGCTTGCTCTAAAGTCTGGTGCTCCAATCTGAACACACCAACATTGTGACCTACAGAGTAATGAATAAAGTGAAAGCAGAGCTTACTTGTATATTACCTCACAGCTCCTTAAAAGGCACAATGACACATGACAGCTGAAGAGGTCACAAACCCCTTTTGCAAAGCTGGATCTATACTGTGCTGCCTAACATTTAATGGAAGTACTGGCAAGCCCGCTATCACTTCACTCAGTGTTAAATATACCCAATGCAGGTATTCATGGGGGCCAACATGGCATGAAGTTTCCATGTCTGCCAATCTGCATAGAATGTCAGTGGTGATAGTCTAGCAGTGGGGTGAAATAGGATAAAGTGATATTAAAGCCTAATTTGTTTTTTCATTTCTCCTTTGAGGGGACCCTCCTTTACTGGAGGCTGTTGCTTTTTTTTTTCTTTAAAAGTTTTTCATTCCTCGTTTTCTAGTGGGTGCCCGCAGCGCTTTTCCCCACGCCCCCTGCACGGGTGCCACCATCGTTCTAATAGAGGCACCCATGCACGCTCGTGCCCACAGTGGCTGTGTGCGTCCACAGATTGATGGCAGAAGGAGCCTACGGCTCCTCTGCCATCAGTATCCTCCCCCTGCAACCCAGAAGGTCGGGGAACGGAGGATTGCTTCGGGACCGGCGGCGGGGACGAATGTAACTGACAGGCAGGTAAGTGTGTGTGTGTGTGTGTGTGGGGGGCAGAGAATGCATTAAAGATAAAAAAACGCCCAGACCTTAATGCTACTTTAAGCACAAAAAACACACCAGTTAATAGCCCTGTGGAGGGTGGACATAGCACGTGCACAGTGTGTTATTGCATCCAATAGCAAGATATACAGAGAGGGAAGCCTCTGGCAGGCAGGGAGAAGTCTCAAAACCATGCTCTTCCACTGCTACAGCAGGCATTTTCAAATGCAATGGGAAGACAAAGTACTGAAATGATTAAAACGCAAACAGTGTCCAAGCCGATTTGTTTCTTACACTGGTAGTCGCAAGCATGTTATCTGGATCCACTAACGTCCGCAACAGCCCCGTGAGCTGTACAGCGCCTCCCAGCTCAGGATCTGTATCACAGATCATATGTTCAATGATGAGATTGATCAGAAGAATGTCCTACAAAAAAAAAAAAAAAATTTTTTTTCAATGAACACAA